ACTTAGCCAGGACCAGCAGGAAGGAGCAGCGGGGCTGAGGGAGTGGGGAACCCGCAGCAGGCGCAGCATGGCGTGGGAGACAAGGGCGGGGCAGGGGCTGCAGGCCTCCCCACTCTCCCTGAATACCACCGGGCCGGAAAGGTCTGCCTCATTCCAAATGGACTCTTACGTTTATTTTATTTAGTCCCTGAGCCTTCTAGCGGTGTACACCACATACTTCATCACCTTTATCTTTGTTTAGCCCATTAGTAAAAAATGTGAAATGATGGTAGAGAGATTGTAGGCGACCAGGTTGATATTACCACCCATTTATCAGCTCTCAGCCTTACATTAAAAAGCCGCCACCCACTGGGTCCACAGCCCCCCGAGGACTATTCACTAGTCGGATAACATTTGAGAGTTCCGACAGTGTTACTCGCTCTTAGGGCATCTTTGCCATCTCCTAGCCTCACTGCTTTCCTTCATGTACTGAAAAGTCCTCCATTTCAGAATTTTATTCCAGAAGGCTGCTGCAAAACAGTCTCTTTCTGGGGCCAGGGACCAGGGATTGAACCCTGTGGTATTCAACTACCGAGCCATGTCCCCAGCCCTTTTAAAATTATTTAGAGATAGGGTCTTGCTACATTGCCCAGGGCCTTGCTGATGGTGGATTTGAACTCAGGATCCTCCTGCCTCAGCCTCCGGAACCACTGGGATTACAGGCATGCAGCTTGTTTTGCACCACACTGCAAAACAGTCTTTAAATTCTTTCATCTTCCTTCTTTAAATTGTCTCCCTCAGAGTCAGATTGCCTCAAAAGTCATCCCTGTGGTGGTTCATGGCAATCACGTGAAATCTGGGTACTGTTGGTACAAAGACATGAGAATTCACTATTCAACAGAGCAGTCGTTTGAACCTGAACTGGGTGTGTCCGTATCTCCCAGTTTCTAGTTTCCTCCCCATAGGCAAAGCAAACAGAAAGGAGCCACTTGACCCCGTGACACCCAGCTGTGGTGGGAGGTGCCCAGCCAGGGTGTTTTGGTTTCAGGAGTAGAGCAGGAGCCCAGTCTCCGCTGCCCTGTTCTCACCAGGCTGAGCACTGCACAGTGTTATGGCCTTATTTTGTACGCACTTTAAAAGCCTGAGATACCCTGGACTATTTCATCCACTTTCCCTCTGTCTGAGATGCCTCTGATGTCTTTTCTGAATTTCTAGGGTGTTTGGCAGGGATCTGGCTAAAACCAGCACTGTAGAAAGAAGGGAAAGTACCATTTGTATAGTTTAGTTCATTTTAGAAAGCTAAAGGAGCGATCACACAGCGCTCTCCCTCTGCGCTCATACCACTCACCTCCTTACAGACAAGAACATAGATGCCAGAAACTTTGAAAACTCCTAACTCCTGGGACACATAAAACAAGACTGTACCTTTGCATGAAAAACATGAGGATAACAATCACATGAGTCTTACCCAGTGAAAAACTTTGCTAACACAGTCAGAGAGACATTTCTAGATACCGAAAAGATCCAAGTAGGTGCTTAATAAGTGCCTTTTAATAAATCCGCAGCCTTGATATTAAACTGAGACAAGGCTGTAGGGTGAGGAGTACCTGGTCTGTCCCTGTTCACCTTTACTGGAGAGTGGCTGGGCTTTTCACTGGCAACTGCACCTACCAAGTGTTGACTTAATATAGTCCTACTTATGGGAGGCTTTTTCCCGGCTTTAGGAAAGGGAGTCCAAAGACAATTGAAATTCAGTTGTTCAGGCCTTTGTGAGGCTCTGATGGAGGGGTAGGGCCCATCCCTGCCCCCAGAGAGGCGATACCCTAAAGAGGTGAAATCCTACAGCTTTTGGCTATAGGACAGTTTCAAATAGTAGTTGACTATCATGAATATATACTGTGGTGACAAATGCTATGAATTTCCTGGATTCAGTGAGATAGTGACACCTTTACTCTCCTCTTTGGTGGTATGTTGAGTGCTTTGATGCCATTGTGACGGGTCAAGACCTTGAAACCCCCAAATGCTTGGAAATTTGCTTGAAATCTGGAAACACCCAAGCTCACACCTGAAATGCAGGGGCTTGAGGTGGTAAGGGTGTGAATTAGGGCCAGCGTGGCCACACTGTGACATGAGGTGTTGGCGCCCCTCACCTTCCTCACAGGTTTGGTTCTGGGGTAAGAGGCACTATGGCCTGACCCTCCTGTCAGACATGGACAGTAAGGGTGGGATTCATTCATCCTGACCAAAGAAGGAAAAAGGATGTTTTCAATTAAATCTCTGAAGGTATTTTTAGGAAGTGACCCTCCTGAGTGGCAATAGACTTCTGACTCATCCTTACAGACACCATATCTTTGTATAGATGTGGAAGGATCCAGAAAGAGGGAGTATAGGCAGCTGGTCTGAATCCACTTTGGTGACTGACTGGCAGAGGCAAAGCAGGATCCAGAGTCTGAAACGTCAGACGCTGATCTCTGGTGAATGCACCTGTGAAACAAAGCGGGGTCACACTGCCCACTTGAAGAGCCAGCTCACCCTACCCTAAGCCGCACCTTCTGGGCGGTCCTGTGTTGCCCCACCAGGAGCATCACCAGGCTCCATGGTCCTGATTTGCAGCGTCCGTCGTCAGCTGGTCCCTCACTGCACTGAGCTATGACTGGGGCCTGAGTTGTTGGAAAGGGAGGCGATGTCAGCCCGTCGCAAAGCATGTTGCATTCATGCCAGCTTCACACTGTCCTCTGTAAGCCGCACTTCAGGACTGCTTCAACTGAGGCCTTGAAGACAGTGTTGCTGAGGGAGGCTGAACACATTCCTAACGGGACACCATGAGTGGCCTCTCACGAAGTAAGTGCAGAGTCCCTTTGGCCAGGGCCTCCCGGGGAGCACTGGGGAGGATGCAGCAGCCTCACGGCTTACTGCAGACCCAGGCAGGCAGAAGCCATCAGACACAGGCAGGCTGTGGTGGCACCACGCACTCCTCCAGCCAGTCCGCGGTCCCTTGGGACACCTGCTGACCAACCAGCTGACCAGCACATTGCTCCCTCCATTCATCTCAGCGCACATGTGGGAGGTTTACACAGCGGGAGCGCGCTGGACTCCCTCCAGCCTTGAGCAGGAGCCAGGGGCCTCAGGCTGCAGAGGTCTCACTGGTCGCTGCTTCTGCTTGTGATGGGGCACCTGTGGGTGTTGGGGTAGGGCGGGGGTGTGTTTGGGGGACATAGGTCACCAACTTAATGAATGGGAGGATGGCACATTTTCAGCATCCCCTGGTAAGTCCTGCAGGTTTTTGAGCAGTGGTGATGTGGACGCAGCCTCCCCGCCCTTCACGGCTGCCTTGATGCAGCAGGACTCTTCACATGCCTCTCTGTGCCCTGGCAGTGACCCAGGAAGTAGGCGCCACTCCCACTGTACAAATGGTAGGTGGGCTGTGAGAGGCAGGGAGGCTTGCTGGAGGCTTGCAGTGACCCCAGCAAGGCAAGTCACTGGGAGATGTAACTGGAATATCATGGGCACTGCAAAGGGTCCCTCTGACTGCCTCACTCTGGTCCTCAGTGGAGGACGGCCCTAAAATCCAGGGGCAGGCCTGCCACGGCACTCAGACAGGAGTGCACACACCTGAGCGCCTCACAGGTCTCACCCACCTAGGGGAAGCATCCCCGGGGGCTCACCTGCGGGTCCTTGTGCAGGGGAGCTACTGTGCTGGGCGCACACAGGGAGTCAGCAAGCGTAGGTCTCCCCCAAGTAGGTCGGGATGAGCTCCTTTCTTCATCTGTGAAGTCACTTGTGTGAATAATCACCAGGCTCCGCCGATATTGTCTCGTAGGCAGAAAGCGCTCTAGACCTCGCTTGTAACTCGGTTCCTCTAGGTCAGTGGTGCTTGGAAAGTGCTTAGTGACTCGATGAGCAAATATCTGAAGTGTGACTCTGAATAGGCTGAGCCTTTGGTGGGATGTTTGGCCAGCTCTGGTGTGGACCAGTTCATCTCTTCTGCAACCACAGCAAAACAGTAGGTCCTTTACATGGGAAAGACGTCTGTTTCATTCACGCTCCTAAGTGCCTGTCAATTCGATCGCCATTGGCATATCAGCGTAGAAGGACGTACATGTTTCAGTTGTTCCCCTTCTGAAATGTCACTGCTTCATGTTCCCCTGGCGTGTCTGTCCTCTGTTGGCTGATTGGTCTGCAGAAGTCCTCCCCATTGGCCAGCACTCCCAGACCACTCAGTTTGCTGAAGAGCAGAACCTTTTAGTGGTGTAAATTGGTATCCAGTTGGGAGCCAAGATGGAAGACAGAAGCCCAGAATGTTCTGGTCCATGGGAGCTGCTCTGTGGAGCACCAGGCTCCTTGGCTGCTAGGAAGGGGTAAGGTATATCTTCGTAATGACCCTGCTCTTTCTTGCTAACAGTGAGGCCATTTCCCAGATCACTAAAGAATGCCCAGGCTTTGTTGTTTTTTTCATGTTCGATTTCTTTTTTGTGGGGAGCCAGGGGGTACTGGGGACTGGGGATTGAACTCGGGGGCACTCTGTCACTAAGCCACATCCCCAGCCCTATTTTGTATTTTATTTAAAGACAGGGTCTCACTGAGTTGCTTAGCACCTCCCTGTTGCTGAGGCTGGGTTTGAACTCGTGATTCTCCCTCTGGAACCACTGGGATTATAGGCGTGCCCAGCGCATGTTCAGTTTCAAGATCAGCTCTTTCTAGGAGTTGGGCAGCTCCTTAAGATTCACACAGTGGACTCCATTTCAGCAAGACAGAAAACCAGAGCTGCCTTCTGGAAGACCTTTGCTGTTTAGGGATGTGTCTGCTAGTCCCCACATCCTGCCGTCTCTGTCCTCAGAGAGGCTCTCTGTCACTGTTGGCATAGCCACCTAAGTGATCTGTGTGCCTGCAGGTGCCGCCTCACCCCAAGCTTCCTGGCAACCCTCTGCTGTGAGCATGACCCCTGCCAGGGCAGAGGCAGAATGGGGGGCAGAGCAGTCAGTGTAAACACACACCACAGGTGACCCAGACAAACACTTTAATTTTTTTTTTTTTTTTTGGAGGCATAATTTAGTCATCTTACCTAAAGCACTTTTCACTGTCTCTGGCAATCAAAGGTTACAGAAGACTCAGCTCAGCACCAGAGGATGACAGGGGGACTCACCCCTCTGTCCCCAGCCCTGCTCCCCCCTGCAGCCTCCAAGACCCTTTGCATTGTCACAGAGGCAGGCCCACACGCAACTGCACAGCCACTCTCTCCCTCCCTGTCTCTCAAAACCACACACACACACATACACACACACACGTGCGCGCGCGCGCGCGCGCTAGAGAGTGAAAAGAAAACCAAACCCACTAAATCACACGGGGAAAAAACGATTTAAGAGCATCATCTTCCCCCTCTGCCTCCGAGACTGAGCTCCGTGTCTGGGGAGGCCTTGATGTGTGCTCGTGCCGGCAGGGGCTACCCAGCCTCCATCATCGTGTCCCACTAAGAAGGCTGTGCAGAGGCCACCAGTTCCCCAAGGTTCCCTTTGGAGGTGACACATCCCTGAGTTAGTCACTCTGCTTCTGTTTGTTGTCGATGTTGCCATAGGCAGAGCCCTTGTCGATTTCTGTCACACCAATCATCCATCGAACTCCCATGGAAGCTGCAGAGACAGGGCAGGAGCAGAGATTAGCAGGAGGACAGACTGCAGGGAAGTTTGCCTCGCGAGAACCTGCGGAAGGCAGGTGGGTGCAAATCCCAAGCATCAGTGAGAGCTGGCAGATTTAAGGTGCCTTTTCATGACCCCAGCTTTAGAGTCAATCTAAAATGTCAGTCTACGTGACATTGAAAGGAACCGAGTAAGGCTGCTCGGTTGGGTTTTCATTCTTGTGTACTGGAAGTGAACAGCTGTTTGTGGGGCCCACAGAATTTTCAGCTTTCCATGCTGATCCCCATGGCAAAGAGGGTTCTTTTGCCAATGCAGGGTAGGAGCTCATGGGACCTCAGCAAAGGAGCCTGGAAAATGCAGGGCTCCAACATCTAAAGCACCCAAGTTCAGCATGCCTGGGCGAGTATTGGAGTGGTGAGTGAAGTCCTGCCCTGGCTGAGAGCCTTCACACCTGTGGGTGGGAACTGTAATGACCTCTGCAGGACCCAGGCCCGAGCCCAGTTAGCCACCAGGAGGCTGGAAAACAGGGCTGCTGCTCAGAAGTGGCCGTTAAGTTGTTCCCTCTGGAGAGGGCAGACTTCCAGAGGTCCTTGGTACAAGGACCACACCTCGGTCACCTTGATGTGCCCCCCATCACAGGGCCAGGCAAACACTGTGTGTGATCATCATTCATGAACCAACAGGGGAGTGAACAGAGTCTCCCAGAGCAGTGGCACCAAGCTCTGTAGACTTCCTCAGCCATGGATGGGGCAGAGGCCACAGCCCTCTTGGGGTGGGACACGTATCCCATAGGTCATTTAGAAGTGAGGAGACTTCTGCTTGAGGCCACCTCTCGAGAAGCTGAGACTCGAACCCTGGCCTGGTCCTAGAACTCACATAGAATTACTCAATGCTACTGTAAAGTAGAAGAGGGGAGCACAACACGGTCTCTGCTCAGAGGCCTGTGAGGAGGAGAGGAGCAACACAGTGCCACGCAGGGCGTGGCCTGTGGATTGGCAGCCGCAGTGCCTCGAGGGCAGTGTGCAGCCTCACAGGCCCCTCAGCCTGGCTCCACCCTCCCACTGCCAGGTGCTGTCGCCCCAGCAGAGCAGCACCACTGCCTCCACTTGGAAGCCTCTTGCTCTCCACTTACCCATGCAGAAGACGAGGATGAAGGTGGCCAGCGTCACAGAAGAGCCACTGCTGACCATGCTGACCAGGAACTGGAAGAAAGGGTAAAGCAGCAGCGAGGCCCAGAACAGCCAGTTGAGCAGGGCCCAGGGCCGCCGCGGGGGGACCCGGGGGGTCTCTGGGAAGACACCTGTCCTGTAGTACTCCTCCTGAAAAGCATCCTGGGGATAGAGGAAGGGACCCTCTGATACAGCACTGGACTTGGCTGAGCTGGCCTGCCCAGACCCACCCAGGACGCGCACCACACTGACATTCTGGCCTCTCCACACAGGACCTGCAGACTCCACATGCAGTCCACCAGCACCAACACCCTGTCTGTGCCCTGCAGCTTCCCAGGGGCTGGGACTTCAAGACCACACAGATGACAGAGGGCCTTGAAGCCTGCAGGTGCGACTCACAGGAGGTGATGGAACACAGGTGTACTTCTTCCGTGAGAGCAAATTAGGGAAATATTAGATGGCCCCTTCTCAGTATGTCTTGGGAAGAAAAAAACAGTGGAAGCTAAGGTCCTGCTCAGAGGAAGGAAGGACAAGTCAGGAGCCCAGCAGCTGACCACAGATGGCAAGGAGGAGGGGCTCCTGCAGGTCTGAACCCAGCCATGGCAAAGCCACCCTCAGGGACTATATCCTGCTTATGCTGGTGATGTTCTGGATTAGGCAGGCAACCAGATTGTTGACCCAGAAGCACTTTAGACTGCATCCATTGCCAAAGATAACTGTAGCATCTTGCAGGAATATTCTGCCCCAGGGCCACAGCCAGGAAGCAGCAAGGGCTGTGGGGCCTACCTCGTCCTGGCCACTACACCCATAGACGGCTTCATTCTCTCTGTGAAGCCCCTTAAAGACATTTCACTTGTTTTCCCCTCACCTTCTCCTGGTAGAGCTTGTGGAGCCAGGCCGAGCACTTGTCCTCGTCTTCGGGGATGTCTTCCATTGGAATCCGCCTGCAAGGGCAGAGAGCAGCTAGTGGTGGGAGGCCACACCCGGTGCCAGCAGCACTTTCAGCATAACAGTGCCTGCTCTCGGGGCTTTCATTCAGGTGGCCTACACAGTGTGGAAGCAAAAAGGAGTACTTCCATGGAAGCCAAAGTGTCGTCGTGGCCCAAGCAGGATGGAGCAAGGACCTGATTTGATGACACAAAGATGGTGAGACGCGGGGACACCTGCCCTTTTCTCTTTTCCCTCCTGCCTAACAGGAAGGCTCCCCGAATCTGACACTTGCCTTAGTCTCCATGAAAGATGATCCAACACATACAGAATCTACATGTAGGAGATAATACGCCAGTCATTTTTTCAGCCAAGTAACGACTTCACGGCAACGGCCAGATACCTCCCATCAAGTGATCTGACCTGGTAGCACCAAGGCAGGCCCCTGCCAGAGTGTCACTACATGAAAGGACCTGGATGGGAGAAACCAGGGCATCTGCCCCTCTGGACTCAGGGATCCCTGTGTCACTTTGCACCCCAGTGTTTACTCACAGGTTCAAGGGTGGCCCTGGAGCCATTGCTAGTAGGGGCATGAGGATCATTCTGCAGACAGCCCATCAAGAACAAGGGGAGATGCCACTTTGCTCTGACTCCTGTTCCATGTCTGTCTGTCCCTTTCTCTCTCTTGCTTGCTCGCTTTCTCTTCTGAGGCTGCTGGCTCTGGTGACTTCAAGGACTGTGAATTTACACTTGCTTTTGTCCTTGAGAAAGGACAAAAGGCTCGTTTCACTTCTCACTGCTCAGGAATATCTTAGGAAGAAGAGACACTTCAGAACTTCTTTGCCAAGGTGTAGCTGTTCGGAGAATGGAGGCTGGGATTTCACCTCATAAGAGATGACGGGAGCCACCGCTGTTAGAGTAAGGGCTTCCTTCTCAGGCAGAATTCTACAGAGGTAAGCTTTTAACATAATTAAGACTTACCCTGCAAGTTTCTCTGGAAATATCCTTTCCCCTTTCCTGTCCCTACATCTCTTTCCATGGATACACCATTTCTTTCTTTGCTCTTCTGATCTGCCCTCGTTTGCAGATCAGATCTTTCAGTGTGGTTCATGAGGAGGTTAGAGATGCTGCCTGCAAACTATTTCTTTACTTGCACCAAGGAGCTCGGATGGTTCTGCTCTTTTCAGTAATGTCCTTGGCACTGTTGCCCTGGTTGTTTTCATGCTTCACACTGAGGTGCAGTGTACCTCAGAGCAAGGCCTCAGCCATCCCAACTGGGTCACTACAAGGAGAGAGGTGCATTGAGTAGCAAAAGGAACCTTCCTGGGGGCTGGGGAGATAACTCAGTGGTAGAGTGCCTGCCTTGTATGCATGAGGCTCTGGGTTCGAGTCCCCAGTACATTATAAAATCTCTTGGGAGGCCATGAGTGAACTTGACAACGAGACGGGAGCCAGTTTTGGGGTGTGTGCTCTGATTGCCACATGCTCTGCAGAGTTGCAGTGACCTAGGAAAACAGCCTCATGGGCCTGCATTCCCAGTGGTCCGGCTGGCTACTACGTGGAGCTCCTGCCAAGTGTTGAAGGAACTTGGGAGAGAAAAGCGCATTTTGTCCCTGAAGAAGACCCCCTTAGGGAGGGTGGGGATTCCCAGCCTTCTCTGGCAGCAGCTGAGTGAAAGACAGTGGCCACCCCACCATTTGGAATATCTCAGAATGCTGCTCTCTACTGCCTCTAAGGATCTGGGCTCGATTCCAGGCAGGGAGTGGCTTTGGACTTCAGCGGTCAGCCCACCAGCACATCTCCTCAGGAATGTTCAAACATCATGTTGAGCCTAGTGAGGATGGTCAGCCACTGGCGTTTCGTTGAGCCGTGCTGTAGCTTGGCATCAGTAGAGTCTTGAATGGGAAAACACATACCACTTGCCTGTGTCTCTGCTGGTGGGCATTTCAGGGGCTATTGGTCAGACTTTGGAGGAGATGACCCACAGCACAGGAGACCAGGCCAACCCCACCAGAGTCAGATTGGACTTAATGAGTAAGTCACTGACCTAAGGCAAATCACCCTTGCGTTTTACCATCGGCAGCTTCTCTAAATTCTTCCTGCTCACCTTGGTGACATTCTGGAGATTAGACAGTAAGCCCATTGTATTAGTCAATGGACAGGTGAAGAGAATTGGCCAAGGGAGGGTTTTCCCTAGTCATGACTAACTGGAGAGTAACCCATGTGAGGTCTTGCAGGAGTGTTCTGCACCTCTACATCTCCTTACCAACACTAGGTGCTGTTACTCGTGTGTATTTGCACAGGGCAGATCCATCTTCCAAGAAAAGAGTCAATAAAACAATTGCTTTACACTCAATATCTAAATGATTGATTATGAAATATGGTCTGCCCTTTCACCAGCCATGGCTCTGGGATGAAAATGAGTTGGTATAAGAAGATCAAGAAGTAGCTGGGAGGGAAAGAGGCTTCCCCAGGTTAGATTGTTCCAAATAGTAGAAAGTGACTCGAGTTCATCACATAAATATAGACTATAAATGAGTTCAGGGTAAAACAGACTGAATGCAAGATGTTAACCAGATGTCCCTAGAAGAAGGTCTCTCGGTCATTTGTGACTTGTTGACTTAGCAACGAGCTTTCTCTTTTCTGAAAAGGAAAGAGGCAGCTTACCTGACATAGCAATCGGCATGATATTTCTTTCCATTTAGGACTCCCAGCAGTGTTGGGTTTTCATTATTTCTGAAATTGAGTGTACAGTCATATACAGCTGGGACTATAAAAATAAGACAAACACAGAGCAGTATATAGCGGGTGGACCCGTTTCTGTTTTGCAGACACACATTCGAAGACATAACATCGCTAACTGGTTGTCTACGAATGGCACAATCAGATTTCCTTGTGCCTTTTCTATGTTGTTCAAATGTTCTACACCAAATATGTGATCAGGAAACCCCGTTATAGTACAGTAATAGAAAACAGAGTGATTGCTGAGGTCAGATCAATTTTAAAATCGTAGCAATGCTACAATATTAGATCTAGATGTGTGATAACAATGATTGGCATCTTTCTAATATGCATGACCTGTTGTGCTCACAAATGCCCATATTCACACAAATAGGGGCAGAAGACAAGTTAATGGGAAGCATATCAAACATCTAAGCACGTCTGTTTCCTGGGAGCATTTTTTCCCCCTAGAACAACAGTGAGACAGCTGCAAACCTACCATAAGATACTGACTGGAAGTCCTTCAGGAATTGAATCAGAGTCAGTTACAACGTGGCCAAGAAATTATGCATGATGTTAATGGTCCACTCCGTGGTGAGGGACCCTGTCAGCACATTGGACTTAATGTGAAAAGTTGTGGTTGTAGTCCCCAGACTGCCCCTGCTCAGAAAGCTCTGGTTCTCAGGATGGAAGATGGCGAGAATGAACCAGTAAGTGCTAGAAATGCCTGGTGGAAACGTGGACTCTTGTGGTGTGAGGGACAGGCATGGACAGGGGAAGGAACAGGGATTTGTGTCAGACTGGACATGAATCCCAGGGCCACCTTTCTCAGTGGGGTGGTGTTTGCTTGGACAGGTGTCTCAGCCCTCCAAGCCTAGTTCTGGAGGATGTAGTCCTTCTGATGCCTTTGTCACTGTGGCTGAAATGACAATCAGGTACTGGCTGCAGGTCCAGCACCTTGTACTCACCACATTATGAGCCCGGCCCTTCATTGACAACTCTACATGTACCATTGCTATCAAGAAAAGGAATAGAAAATACTAGGAAGCTTCAAAAGTTCTTCATCTAGTTGGGAAAGTGGGGAACCCAGATTTGAAAATGATAAAATCACTATCATGTTTTCTCTACCTGTTGCCTGACCCCCCCGCAGGTGCTGCAGGCCCACCATCTTTGGCAGGGGGAGAGGGTCCCTCCTGCTGGCCTGCAAGAGTGCCTGAGAGCAGGGCCCCCAAAGTGAACTGCACCACAGAAAACAGCTGGTCCAGCCAGGCACTGAATCACCTGCCATCCCAACATCTCATGAGGGTGAGGCAAGAGGATCGTGAGTTCAAAGCCAGCTTCAGCAACTTAGCAAGTCTCTAAGCAACTTAGCGGGACCCTGATTCTAAATAAAATATAAAAAAGGGCTGGAGATGTGGCCCCGTGGTTAAGCGCCCCTGGGTTCAATCCTTGCCACCAAAAAAAGAAAACAGCTTGTCCTCCATATCCTCAGCATCCAGCTAAATCCTGAGGCTGGCCTGGGCAACAGTTCGGGGTCTCTTGCTCTTTGTCTCACGAGGAGGAGAGGAGAGATGAGGACAAGGCCACAGGAAACCAGCAACATGAGGCCCGAAGCCATGAAGTGGCTCTGGTGACAAAGGGCCCAGCCTTGCCCTCCTCTCTCCACAGGATGGACCCCAGCCTTTCCTGGGTGTACCTGGCATGTGACACCCAAGGAAGGTCTGCCCAGCCAACGGAGCTGCCCCCGAGACCCAAAGCTGTGTGGTGGCCCATCCAACCAGAGGGCAGTGAGGCCTCCTTCAGAGCCCAGGGACTAGGGATTCGGGAGCCGGGAAGCCACATGAGTTATCAGGGAAGAGTGTTTTAAACTGCAAAGAGGACTAGAGGTCAGAAACCTGTTGTTGGTTTCCTTGTTTCTTCTACCTAACAATAATTCAAGGCTCGGAACTCGCAGGTCAGCTGCCAGACACAGGTGGTTCATCATCTGCAGTGCCAACAGATCGGCAGGAAATACCCCAGACCAACAGGGCTCACTTGGGTCTGTAGCCAGGGGCCCCTGCAGGATCCAGCACATTCCACACAGTCACACGGTAGTGCCACTGCTGAGCAGCAGAGGGCAGTGTTTGCTGGGATGCACTAAGGAGAGGTGCCCAGCAGGTTCTGAATCCCTCAGAGACCCTAATTTAGCAGTCACTCACTCCTGCTGCCAGCCACATGCCGGCTCCAAGGCATCACCAGGGAACGGCACTGCAGATCACAAGCTGTGGACGCCCTGTGCTGGCAGGAGTGGCAGTGCTGCAGAGGCCGCCTCCTTACCTACATCCCTCAAGCACCTCACGGTGATGGCGAAGCCCTTGGTGCGTGGCAGCAGGTGGTGTTTGAGGCTGGGCAACCCCTTGGCTTGGGCCACCTGCATGCTGATCTGGTGTTTCTTCTCTGTGAACCGTGTGCCCTCGCAGTGGATCAGGAACTGGAAGGTAGAGGAGGGACTGTCACACAGGACCCTATGGATCCACAGTGTTCCATGGTCACACACAATCCTAGATCACACGAGGTTGTCAAGTCACACGTCCTGAGATCATACACAACCCTGCAGTCACACCGCCTTGTGGTCACACACCACCCCAGGTCGCATGCAATTCTGTGTTCACCCATGGATCCAAAGTGACACAGAGTTGTGGCCACAAAAGGACCTGCAGGGATTGGCAAGACGTGCTGCTCCCACGTACAAGATACTTCTCGGGGTAATCCCGGAGGTGCAGCAGACTCCTGGCGACTGTCTCACGATCTTGCTCCCACTTGCGTGTGCAGAAGATCATTTCCGTGAAGTACCACATCCAGCCAATGATTGGGACGTAAGACAGCTCTTTCTTGGCCAGGACCTTGGAGTTCTGAAACAGGAAGCAGCACAGGGTGTTCATAAAAGAGAAGACGGGGGTGGGGGGGATCACCCCTTATGGCTCTTGGAGGTGTTAGTGGGAAAGGAGAAGTGTTCACACGGGAAGCTGCACTGCGTTCCAGAACACCCTGTGGCCAAACCTGGTGGCCCTGGAGCCCTTCCCACTGTGTCAACGGGAGGTCAAGGCCACTCACTGTTGGGGGGACAGGGAGGGAGGCTGGGTGCGTGCTGCAGGCAAGGCAAGCCAGAGTCGTTACAGATGAGGAAGTGGAGCCCAGAGGGGTTCTCAGGCACAGGCCCTTGGTGGAGCTAAGTCCATCAGACCAGCAGGTGCTCGGGCACTCTGCCAGCTGCTTGCTCTCATCTCTGGAGCAGTGCCTGAGTGCCCACCACAGACCTTCCTGAGGCGGTGCAGGGTGCGGCAGCCTGGCCCACCAATAGGTTGGCATCCCAGCCACCGAGCCCCAAGGGCTGCCGGGGGTGGCCCCAACCAGCTGTGCCCAGAACCCACAGGCCCTCTCCAGGCTGGGGAGCACCAGGGTTTCCAAGGGTACCAGGGAGGGGACACAGAACAACTGGCCAGGATGCTCCTCCCTCAAGCTGGGGAGGTCTCATGTCCCAGGGGAGTCAGGCTGAGCTGCTCCTGACGGCTGCCTGGTTGAGCCCTAAACCTGAGCCACCCAGGGCCAACGCGAAGACGCCCCCACACGGTCCTTCCTTCCCCCGCTCCCACTTTCTACCTTGTTTAAAAAGCAAACTTCGCCCTCCCTGTGGGGAAGAGGAGCACGAACACATTTTGATGTGCTTTTTGTTTTGGACATGGAAATCCCCTCAAAGAGAACCTAGCCATGCAACCTGAAGCTGGCTGGCCACAGCTGACTCGGAGGTGAGTGCTGGCAGTGTGGACACTCTCCAGCGGGAGCGATGGCTGCCCTTTGCCCACCCAAGGCCACACACTTTGTATGAGTTCTATGTGATTCTAAACCCACGGGAATGTCCCGCACTTTACAAACCAAGGCTCAGAGACATGAAGTGACTTGCTTGGCACCACACATCACGTGGCGAATGGCTGGGGAGGCTGAGTGTGTTGGCCAGTCTCCTTCTGAGGCTGAAGTCAGTGGGGCACAGGAGCAGACACGTGGGCCACCTTCCCAGTAGCCGTGCCCTCCTCCTTTTGCACCCAGACTCCCTTCTGTTCTAAGGACCCTTGGCACAGGGTCTGAGTGACATCTGTGTGGCTTTGGTCAAGAAACAACCTTTCTGAGCTTCAGGTTTCTCAGCTCTGCCATAAGGAAATGGATACTAATCAGTTTCACAGGGTTCCCACAAAGGTCGAGTAGCCCGTTACTTATAATTGTAGTGCACCAATAAAAATGTGGGGGAAAGGGCTGGACAGCATATGGAAATTTCCACAAGTAGTGAAGGGTGTGGCCCTTATCATTGTCCCAGGCCTAGCACAGAGCCAGGGTCTCTTCATTCAGCCCATTTTCTAAACCCAATGTTAGCATCACAATGATAAATAAGTCATATTTATCCCAGCATTAACCAATGGGCTCTGTGCTAACAGACTTATGTGACTTAACTAATTTATTACTAACAGACTAGAAGTTATGGTCCCCAGAAACAAATTATAAACATCAGGACCCTCTCAGGCCCATCAAGGTTTCTGTGTGTGGGTGGCAACAGCCTTAAGGAATTTCCAAGAAAACATACACTGACTCCAGATTGAGCTTGAAGGTAGACCTGACAGGCTCTTCTGATGAGTTAGTTATGTACAGACCCATCCAGATGCAGCATGTCTTGAAAATCTGAATTTCTTAGGTAGTACAGGGTACTCCACAACCTATGGGGCTGCTGAAGTGTCCTGCCCTGCCATTTTCTACTGGTATAGGGTCACCTCGTCATCATACATTCTACAGCTAAAAGTCTACAAAACTCGTGTGTGTGTATGAGAGGGTATGTGGGGTGGTGAGGGGTGCAGCTCTCCTTCTCATCCCATGAGGCAGCCAAAGTCAGGACCACTACCACCCAGGGACACAGCCATCCCATGAGCCCAGAAGGCAGTACCTTGGCCAAGGGGGCCACCAGTACAGAGACCCGTGGTAGTGGAAAGATCCACTCTGCCTCTCATGGATCCAGTGCCTTCCAGGCCTGAGATTGGGTGGCTGCCACCTCACTTGTGCCGTGAAGAATGATCCTCATGTGTCCCTTCTCGTTACCCTTACTTCAGCATTGCTCTGTGAGTGCTAGTCAAGGTCTCCCCCAACACGGCAGCCTGCCGCGGGCTAGCTTGAAAACCCTCAGTGCCTGTGCTGGATTTAAGGTTCTCGAAAAACCGTCAGCACCTTGCCCAGCCACATTCCTGTGATGCCCCACAACCTCTGACCCTCCATGGGGACCTGCAGAGAGCCTGGTCAGGGGTGAAGACCACTCAGAGAGATGAAGGCATCGTTAGATAAATCTTTCAAACACAGGACCGTTCCCACAGGTTTATCAGTTTGGCTACCAGTCAGTCATTTGTTTAACCCGTGGTCATTTATTTCTTCTACATATATAAACTGGGGCCTCGTAAGTAGAAATTCAAAAACCAGTGAGACGTTTGTAAAAAAAAAAAAAAAAAATAAGCTAGTTGGAATGTTCACACTTCAACACTTTGATGTTTTTCTTGACCATGAACTGGAGAAAGCAGCCAACTGAAGTTTGGTGGAGTCCAGGCGAGAGCCTAGTGGGCAAGGAAGAGCAAAGCGGGGCAGTTTCTGTTCTGTCTCTGCCACTGACTCTGCAAGGAAGTTGTTGAGCGGAGCCTCTCTTCAGCAAGGCTCATGCCTGCAGAGGACTGGCTGTGGCCAGGCCAGTCGTGAACTCTCAGTCCCTACCAGAGTCATGCACAGGAAAGAGAGCGGAGCTCAAGATGATGCACCAGGAGAGAGAGAGACAGAGAGAGTGTGTGTGTGTGTGTGTGTGAGAGAGAGAGTGAGAATGTGGGTGTGAGTGCGTGTACACGCATACCGAAAGGTGAGAGACTCCATTTGTACAAACTCGAGTGCCACAAATGGGGCCCAGTCTTGCTTATGCTCATTCCTTTCTTTGCTTTCTACATTCTTGATGCCTGGAGGAAAATGCCGTGGACTGTACTCTACCAGAGAATTCTCCAGAGAGTCGCTAAACAAAATGAACTCTGTTTCACAATTAGTCACAGCCCTGGGGGAAATGCGCAAACCATACCTGAAACAAAAAACCCGCTCTCTAAGAATTAATTTCTCGTAGACTAGAAATAAGTACGTGTGGTCCCCAAAGCCCAGCCCACCGCCCGCAGCTCTTGGGCTTCGGACAACATCTTCACCTGCAGCCCCCAGTCGACATCCCTCCCCTTGCCAAGCCCAGGTGGTATGTTCACAGCTGGGCAGGCGTGCAGGTGTGCCTGGGGACAGGAGCAGCCTTTGGGGGCCAGTCAGGGAGCACAGTCCAGCAGGACATTTATCACCACTGACTCTGCTCCAAGGGGTCATGGTGATCAGGACAGAATGGAAGAGAGAGGAGGTCCCTGCACACGGCCCTGGACTGTCCTTCCTGGATACAGGTCCTCATGCCCCTCTCAGTTCATATTCCAAACAGCTGGCACAGGGCCTTCCTGGGGTGGCTCTAGGCCTGAGCAGCTGGGAAGACAAGAAGGCATAAGAGGGCAGGTGGCACAACAGGACTCCTAGGGGCAGGTCGTGGGGGCAGTTTGCCCTGTGTGCAGTACCATCTAAGCAGCAGGCATTTGCCCCACAGTCGCAGGCGTGCGGGTGGCAGGCGACAGGGCCCTGAGCCAGCACGGGGGGCAGGGCAGACAGAACTGTGAGCAGCATCCCAGAGCAGACCATGTGGCTGGCACAGTACATTGTGCCCCAGGGGACCAGGCCACCCGGCCAGCACTGCCGCCAGCCTCCTTTACAACTGGACGCTCGTTAAGACATTGCCAGAGAATTCCAGTCAATGAAAGAGGGGCCTTGCCACGTCTTCCGAGGGCAGCCAGAGTCGGCTGGTGTGCCCGGGACCACTCGTCAGCTCACGAGCGGGGGCTCTCCTGAGCTGCCACTCCTCTCCTGGCTGGTGACTCACCTGGTCACCTTATTGTCACTATCCTCTCAGGTTCCTTGTCTGTGCCACACCTGGCCCAGGAGGTGAACCGTGAGGGCAGAAGCAGCAGCCTGCCCACTCCCTCGGTCCCCACGGGGCCTGCCTGGTGCTGCAGACAGGGTGGACGAATCCCAGCCCAGATGTTCCATAAGAACGGGGTTTCATCCACACAGGGATCTCGCACAGAACATCTAGGTAAATCCCAGGTAGCAAAAAGCTCTGTCCTCAACTTTATCTGGCTTTTCAAAAATAGGGAAATGGCCACAAAGGGACCAGTGGCGTCCCTCCCTGGGCACCTTTGCTGTCTCCCATGAGCTGGTAGACACTAGGCGTTAGACTAGTGCTAACATAGTGACATTCCTCCCTACACACTGTCCCAGATAGCACTGCCCGCATGCCAGCCTCCCCTTCCATCCCTCCTGTGTCCTCTCTTTGCCACAGTGGGCCCAGCTCCTCCCGGGACTCCGACAGCACCAAGGTTAACACCCACAACCTCCCGGGGCACTCCTGGGGTGCTCCAGGGCACTGCCCTGTAGGGAACAGGTTGAGTACCAGCCTGGCCACCTGCATCCTGCCGCCCCAGGTGAGCATGTCCTGTTGCCCTCAGATCACGTGGCCTCACAGGAAAACCATGCACACTGTCCCTTCACCTCCCTTCATACAGCACAGGTCCTTGGAGACACCTTATCTTTCAACCCACAGCACCCAGCACAGTGTCTTCAAGGGCTCACACCCACAGTACACAACTCCTTGGACACATACTGTGAAAATATGTGGCTTGTTGCCATCATTAAGGATCTTATTTAAGGGGGCTAGGGTTGTGGCTCAGACAGGGTGGAGTGCTCACCTGGCATGCATAGGGCACTGGGT